ACATGGCGAGACAAAGCTTAAAACCATCACAGCCCATTGACTCTCACGCACACTGCCCATTCACTGACTTTCATGCACAGCATGCTAACGTGTTACAGGCCCTCCACCTCGGCAGAGGGGCAGGGGTGGGAACATCCAAGGTGGATGCCTCACCAGCATGGGGACCAGCTCCTCTGCACAGCCTCTTCTTAGGAACACTGTTGTGCCCTCTGTATTACCACCATACATTTAAAACGACACAAAAGGAATGTTGTGATGGCAGAGATTTGCCTCAAAATATCTGGGGGATGGGCATATAGATAAAAAAGATGGATCGGCTAGGCGTGGTGACTCAAGCCTGTAATCCCAGCACTTTGGGAGGCCGAGGAGGGTGGATCACAAGGTCAAGAGATCAAGACCATCTGGCCAACATGGTGAAATCCCGTCTCCACTAAAAATACAAAAATTAACTGGATGTAGTGGTACGTGCCTGTAGTCCCAGCTACTAAGGAGGCTGAGGCAGGAGAATCGCTTGAACCCGGGAAGTAAAGGTTGCAGTGAGCCGAGTTCGCGTCACTGCACTCCAGCCTGGCAACAGAGTGAGACTCCATCTCAAAAAAAAAAAAAAAAAAAAAGATGGATCATGAGTTGATAATTTGTAGAGCTGAGTGATGAGTATACTGCCTTATGCTCTTCTTTCTTCTTTATACTTGAAATTTTCCATAGTTTTAGCAAAAAGGTATCTTGAATGCATAGATCTGAACTCCACCACCCTCCTTTTTCCAGAAAACAGAGGATTAGATCAAATGAAAATAGAAGAGCATCTTGATTTTATAAAACGCTCAGAGAAGACTCTTCACACCTCAAGTCTCTCACTTTTCTCCCTCTCCCTTTTCTCCTGATGTTACTCCTCCCCTAAGACCTCTCCTTTCTCCCCTATGATCAATTCATTCAAAGCCAAGACAAGGAAAGACTGCCAATTTCCCCATATGAACCCAAACCTTCACCTCCCTTCAATCAAGTCAACTACACATGTGTAAAGCCAGTCCTGCTGCTTTCTCTGTACTGCCTCCTGGTTAGGAATACCCCTAAGCATTTCATCTATTCAATAAATATCCACTGCAGGCATGATGAGGCCAGGCATGCACTAGGTACCAGCAGAAGAGCAAAATCTAGATGAACAAGGCCCAGCTTGGAAAGCTCTCATCCTATGGAGGGCCCACAAACAAGCAAGTAAGAAATACAATGATTCTACATGGGGAGTGTGGCATGAGGAGCCATGAGGTAGCATGTAGGGGGGTATTTTAAGCAGGGTCCTCTTGGAAGAAATACTCAGTGATGGTTAATTTTAAATGCCAAATGACTGCACCATGGATGCCCAGAGGGCTGGCTGAACATTATTTCTGAGTGTGTCTGTAAGGATGTTTCCAGCAGAAATTAGCATTGGGATTGGCAGACTGAGTTAAGCACATCCACCCTGCAGAGTGTGGGTGACCATCATCTAATCCTTTAGGGCCTGGATAGAACAGAAGGGCAGAGGAAAGCTGAACTTTCTTCTGTGAGCAAATGGCTGCAGTGACACAGCCCTGGTGTCCTCATTCAGGCCAGTCCCACACGGGCTGGATCACACACAGCTATCTTGCTTTGACAAGCCCAAAGATGTGTCTCCTGTGAAGCCCAACAAACTCAGCTGGATACATCTACAGTTTCCATGTTCTCCAAGAGAGAGAAATGGGGGAAACAAGGCCAGAAACAACCAAGGCACTGTAAGGCCTGGCCTGCTGGGACCTAGACCTGGCAACGAAAGGCTTTTCTGCAGAGGAACAACACCAGCTTCAGAATTCACTGCCAGCCTCTTGCAAACAGATCCACTTGTCATTATATCAGAGGGAGATAAAAAGAAAGGTTTTAGTGCAAAGCAACCAGTGCGCCTCTTTTAGTGAGTAAGGCAACACACAAGCTAAGAAGCAAAGACTTGGGAATCCCACTTCACCCAGGGAGCCCCCACGAAGGAACCCGGAGGACACACACAGTGACGCATTCTGACCACATCCTCCAGAGGATCTTTACTAAGGGCAAGTGCATTCAGTGGCATATGCAGCTAAATCCAGTTATACTAAGTTCTAGAAATCTGAACACAAGGAGAGTTCATTTGACTGATTCCACTGGGATCAGGAAACAGGACAAAAACAACGACATTTGTACAAATTAACAAGAAACAGAAAAAAAAAAAAAAAGCATGAAAATCAGATCCAACATGTCTCATCAGAAAACGGCTTGGCTTTAAATTCTTATACCAAGGGTGGCACAGAATATTTTGCAAAAGTTATGACATCTTTTGTAAGAATGGACCAACTGGAAGATTTCTGGTGATAAATCTTTCTTGACCAGGAGATTAAGATGTCTGTTGGCTGCTTTGAACAAGCAGAGAGCTTGCGGATGAGAAAAACTGAGGTTGTTTTAAGAAAAACACTTAAAACTCAAAGGCAGTAAACAGGACCATTTTCACATTGGCCAAAGCATTCTGAAATGCTTCTAGGCAACCACGAAGCATTTAGAAGTACATTTGAGCTGCCAATTATGGCTTAGACAACTTCTACTGATGGGGCAATTCTGGAGCTGCTTGTAAGACATGAAGCTTCAGGCTAATTTTGGTTCATTTAGCCCACAATAATTTGGGATTCATATATTTCATACAATCTCATTTACTACGCTGGATACAACTTGCTTATACTAAGATCAAAATCCTAACTCCATACTTAAAAAGATGATAGTAAGTTAATTACTTCAAAATATTATATTACCTGGTAATTCCATATTAAACAAAGCTAAGTATTTATTCATATCCTGCATACTTTCAAAAGAGGACCTCAGGCTGTCTAAGATAAAAGGCTTAGAGAACAAGAATGAAACAGAAATGGAGCATAGTACAGAGGGGGAGAAACAATTACAAACACCTAAGCTAACAAAATCATTGAATATAAACAGTAAGTTTCCTTCAAGCTTTCTACGAGCTAAAACAAATGAGCAAGCTTTAATAGAGAAAAAATATCTGGGGTCAGGCTCGGTGGCTCACACCTGTAATCCCAGCACTTTGGGAAGCTGAGGTGGGTGGATCACTTGAGGTCGGGAGCTTGAGACCAGCCTGACCAATATGGTGAAACCTCATCACTACTAGAACTACAGAAATTAGCTAGGCATGGTGGCGGATGCCTATAATCCCAGCTACTCAGGAGGCTGAGGCAGCAGAATCATTTGAACCTGGGAGGTGGAGCTTGCAGTGAGCCAAGATCATGCCATTGCACTCTAGCCTGGGCATCAGTGCGAGACTACATCTCAAATGGAAAAAAAAAAAAAATCTAATTGAATCTTTTATGGTTTACATTCTTATTCAAAGAAACTAAGTAACATACAGAACAAAGTTTTGCAACAGAAATTTTTAAATATATGTAAATATATCCTGAAGAAGATCTTTGTTAAATCAACACTCAAGAAAAATCAAGCACAATTCATCAACAATTTACTGACAATTGTTCTCCATGGACAGTTGACACTTATTGACAGCTGTTAATTTGATGAAGATACTGATGATGGTAGTGCTGGTGACAGAGTATGTCTCTTTCTGTGTCTTGGCATTGAATGGTTAGGAGACAGGGCACTAGTAACTCACCTAATAAGAACCAGATATAAAATTTTCAGGGGATTTTACTTGCTGTGTTATAAAGCTTATTCACTGTAGGAGGAAATCCTGAAGCAGGGTCCCTGGCCATCACCTCTATCATCAGCCTTTCCTTAAGTCCCCTAGAGTCCCCAAGTTTTGGAAGACACCTGGTGAGTGGGCAATTCAGTCTCCAGTGAGAAACTGAAACATGGACAGTCAGGAATAATGGCTGAAGGGAGAGTCATGTGCTTTGAGTCCCAGACAATGGTGAGAACTGACTTTCTTTTATGACAGTAAGAAATGGCTTCTGACTCAGAGAGAGGTCTACATGGAGGGGCTGCAGAAAGCCCCCCACTTCTTGGTTTGATGTGTTTTTTTCTAGGGAAGAACACTCCCACCTAAATGAAGTCAACATTTTCTTTCAATATGGGCCTTAGCAATAAGTGTACACTCTGGTGCATTTTGTAAGGTTTAGCCAAGAAAGAAGATTAAAATTCACATCCCAGAAGGCACAAAGGACCAAGCCATGCACAGAGTGCGTTCCAAACCCAGCCAGTAACTTAACAGGGACATCTCGAGTCTGGGATCCGTGAAAGCACAGGGGAACTGAAAACAACACCAAGAATGAGGACAATGGAAAATGAATGGAGCAGCCAAACGCCGGTGAAAAAAGGAATCAAATAAATCCAGGCGTCTCAGTCAGAATGTCACTCAACAGACTTCACGTCTGCCTCCAATGAATGAGGAAGCTTGTGGAATTATGCAGAGGTTTTCAGCTTTCAATAAAACTGCTTGACAAGGGTAAAATATTAATTCCATCTGCCAAATAGAAAGAAAATGATTAACAAAAAGGGCAAGGAGATAACATGGGGAAATGTAAGGTGTTCTGCAGGATAAATGAGTTGAAGAATCATTAAAGTTCTTATTACTTTGAGTAGTATTTGAAGAAATGCTGTCAAAGAATGCAAAGTTCAGAATAAGATGAAACCATTACTTTCAGATTTAAAGAAAACTTGAATTCTTTTCCTTGCAATCATCACAATGGAGCGAAGTGATTGCCTCCCCGGGACAGACAATCACATATCTTAAAGGCTACAATGTATGCTGATTACCCTAGGACTTTGGTGTATACCTAAATTACAAACTAGGAGCTTTTGCCTTCATTTCTCAATGATCTATCACCTGCACTACATGTCAATTACCCTTCTCTTGTAAGGGCTAAATCTTCCTGTCTTGTAATACAGCAGTTTTAATTGGTTGCAACCTCCACTCCTTTTGTCAAGAGGAGGCAATTCAGAGGGTCAATGTCTTCAGAAAATAAATAACAGGACAAGTGAATAATTCTTGGGGTTCCACTCACCATGCTGTGTGAAGAGGTCACTGTGGACGATTTCAATCAGGCAGTAGAGTTTCTGGATGGTCAGCAAGCCCATGGGAACATTGAGGATGAATTCAGTAAACATTTTGCTGTGAGGAAAAACACAAGGGAAATAATTTTGAGACACACAGCAAAAGGATCCAATGCCGTTACAATACTGAGATATAAGGTCATCATACGGTCATTAATGTCACCAGTATGTTCAACACGGCCCCTCATGCACTATGGGGTCAATAACTCATTCCAGGAAATGATGTTTTGAAAGTGTTCGTTTTCACTTCACAACCACTAACATGCCTATAATCCAAAAGACAGACAATAACAAGTGTTGGTAAAGACATAAGGAAATGAGAACAGTCACACCAAGCTGCTGGGAAGGTAACACAGTGCAGCCACTTTGGAAAACAGTGTGGCATTTCCTCCAAATGTTAAACATAGTCACCATATGGCTCAGCAATTCCACTTCCAGGCATATACCACTCACCCCACTCCCAAAAAATTGAAACCTTGGTTCCCCCTACCATTTTTTCGTTGATTCCAGTTGGCTTTGTTCATTACACTCAAAAAGTAAAAACAATCCAGAAGACCATCAGCTGATGAATGGATGAACAAAATGCAGTATATCCACACAATTCATCTCCAAAAAGAAGGAAGCACTGATGCAAAAACATGGAGAAATCTTGAAAACGTTATGCTAAGTACATGAAGCCAGTACAGAGGCCACAAGTTGTACGATTCCAGCTCTATAAAAAGGCCAGAAAAGACAAATGTGTAGATACAGAAAATAGATTAAGGGTTACCTGGGACTGGCTAGGAAGGAAAAACGAGCAGAAATGGACACCGGGATCTTGCCAGGGTTATAAAAATGTTCTAAAATTGGACCCTGGTGATTGTTGCACATCTTCGTAAATACACTAAAAACCACTGAACTGAACCGTCTACAACAGGTAACTTTATAGTTTGTAAATAATATCTCAATTTTTTTTTAAATATACTTTTACATTTGGACACAGGAAGGGGAACATCACACACCGGGGCCTATTGTAGGGAGGGGGGAGGAGGGAGGGATAGCATTAGGAGATATATCTAATGTAAATGACGAGTTAATGGGTGCAGCAAACCAACATGGCACATGTATACATATGTAACAAACCTGCACATTGTGCACATGTACC